TATAATCTTCTTTGGGCACAAATACTTGTTAGAAGTTGGGAAAGTATGCAATTATAACACATACTTGAGATTATCTGTGTGCCAAGTCCCACCCCCAATGCATCTGCTTCTAATGTTATCAGGCCACTAAATGGCTGAACAGAAGCAGTAATGAATCATGTGTTTCCAGATTAAAACATTAACAAAACACCACGCTTGCAGGCTGGATGAGCACTGGAGGCTTAATGTATTCGACTCTGTGTTTAGATTTTCTAAAGTTCTTTAGCCATTAAAAGAACTTAATCCGAGAAATAAAACCAATATGTGCCATACATTTTTGCATTTCAGAACACCAAAACAGAATAATAAACAGACAGAAACTAGTTGTTTTCTATCAATAAACAGCTGTTTCCATACGGTGTTGTCTTTGTTTTATTTGTATTTGCAGGAAACTGAAGACAAATGAATTTGCTGGAGGCATCAAGGACTTTTTAAAATAAAAGAGCAAGCAAACTACATCATTGGTGACAAACCTACAGTCATTACAACAGTGCTTATTTGCAGAGACTGCAAACCCCGATCTAAATTATATAATCATAAATGTAAAAACAAAAACTCCATAATAATTATTATGATCACCACAAAGTACTGGACATACACATTTTCTTTACAGCACGCTGTGGCAAAGATTAGATAAGACATATGTGATATTTCTGCTTTAAAAATAAATAAATAAGAATATGAGGAGATCGGAGACAGTGAATGGTTAATGACTCTGTGCAGGCAGGCAATTTAGGAATGCTAGCTTGCATATTTGGAACCCTTCATCTATAATTTAAGAGAACAGTGTCTTAATAAAAGGCCAGCATTGATTAAAAGTCTTAATCAGTGAAATTTAATTTTAAAAAAAATGTCTCATTTCTCATCATAAAGCTACAGGTAAAAATTATACCTGCATATTATTACCAGAACGGAAGAGCATCCAGTTAGAAAAACGTCAGGTCTTCACTTGTAGTTAAAACCAAACTTAATCTGAAGTTTCATCATCATGGTTTATTCATTTTGACAGAGAGATTCATTTGGGTTCAGTTCAGTTTAACAGTTAAAACTGAAGTGCTCCTTATAATGTATCATTCTTTGTTTCACAATGCCTTTCCCCTCTAGAGATGTCTGTACCTGTACAAAATTACTGTAGTTTGAGGCCTATAGTGGATTTTGCTCTGCTGATTATGAAACCATTTAAACACAGCTCACATAAACACTCTGCTGCTTCAGTCAACTTACTCCATCATTTTAAATGAGACAGCCAAACAAACCAAACCGAATTTCATAATAGGATTTTATAAACCTTTAGTCGTTATATTTATATCCAAAGAAATTTTAATCTTCACAAAGAGATTATTTCTCCATTTTTTTCTTTTGTTTTCCACTTGACTTTTCCATAAACATCTTTACATACATTTAACAATGTACATTAAAAATTGCATATTTGCTATTCTGTGTTACATTGTTAAAATCAATCTGAAGTGCAATAAATACCAATTTAAATCAAAATTACAATCAATATCTATAGTTTCTTATGCAAAATGATAGGGTATAGGGAGTTATGGCTACAGTGTGTGTGCAAGTCTGAGAGATGACTCTATAAGACATGGTGTAAACTGACAAGTAGTAGGCTTCTTGGTTTGTTTAGATCAGGTATGAGGTTTGCTCTGTACTAAGTAAAAAGCTACACAATACAATGTTCTCAACTAGCTTCAGAAAATCTGAAGGCATGGTGCTTCAAAGGTAAAGATTGCTTCCATTAAGCTATTGCTTGCATTAAGGGTAACTTATGACTATAATTGGAACTAAACAAGTACCAGGGACCAAACTCTGGACATCATGGTTCCTGTGAATTTGGCCATTTATTAAAAAAGAAGAAGAAAAAAACCCTGTCTCTTGTGAGTTAATACATTCAATGGATAAGCAATGCTAAAATACTAAGTACTCCCTTAATGATTAATGGAAACAATACAGAAAACACAGCCTTTGATTTAACTTCATGTAGATTCATGTAGTCAGAGGTTGGGAACTGTTTTCTAACCTTCTATTAAGACAGTGTTCAGTCAGAGTGGCTGAGTGACATGTGACAAAACTGCTTTTCATTTGTCAGTCTGGCTTTTCACTGCTGTTCAATACTTGAATGTGTGCCTGCTGGCAAAAGAATCATGCAGGATGTTTACTGTACAAACTAGAATCCCTGTCACCATCAATATACATCAAATTAATATATTATTGACACCATCATTATCAAGTTAGACTATTAGTGAGCTTTAATAATACACCACAGGTTCATCAAATGTCATTGAGTAGCACAACCAGATGGCTTGTCAGCATCACCTTTTGCCATTCAAACATTTGACGCAATCCTGTGAGAACAAAGCACAGACCTCTAGTGAGGCGATGCTGAAACTTCCCAAAGACCCCAGAAATCAGTGTCCAGTGATCTTTCAGCACAATTTGAATACACACACCCATTCATACATACACACATTGTCTATAGGAGATAACACTTTGGCCACTCACAAGCAAGTATGTTGTGCTTCAGGTCTGTATTTTCTAGTTGACTCGAATATTTTTGAAGACACACGTGCATTGTGGAAAAGAAGTAGAAAATGAGACACTTTGCGTTGGCCACAGTGGAAGAAATCCCCTCAGATCTCATTCTTACACCTACACGAAAAATGCCAGAATCAAGGTTTGACCTTTTTCAGAACTGGAAAGTGTGTCGCTTAAATTTACAGACTTACTATCAAAAGTGATGGTGACTTTTTCCATTTAAAATGAGAGGCTACTGTGTCACAGCACACATTAAATACAATTATGTAGAATCTAAAGGCATCTCCTTTTCTCACTTCTTACACTTATCTTCTTAGGACACAACAAGATAGGAGAGGGTTCGCTCTCAGTACACAGACACATAAAGATAAGACAACAAAAAGCAGTTACTCCTTGCCCTGATGCTTCGACTGGCAGCAGACACAGTGACAGTTAAAAGAATAGATGGAGAGCAAACGGTGAGACAGACACAACAGCAATCAAAAGGAGAAAAGAATAAAAATATGGCCACCGTTTAACGCTGTGTGTAGAGACAATGTACTGCAACTTGAACTAGGCTTGAAATTAACATGTGTTTTACATTGTCCAGTTGGTGTTGCTCAAAACCACCAGAAATACCAGTTTTTCCTAATGGTGGTATGTGACGGGGGATCCCATGGAGGAGGGGCAGTCCATAGCGGCAGAAACTGCCACAGAGCAGATTACATGTGATAAATTTGATAAAATGAGGGGGGAACAAAAGAGTCATATGCAGAGTGAAATCCAGGAGAAGAGGTGGGGTTATTACACAGTTTACGGGGCAGATGATGTGTGTAATATAGGGCTGCCACTGCATCTCGCATAGCCGAGGGATCAGGGAAGGATCGCGATTCATTTGGCTTTGATTTCTGTGTAGTTGCTGCCGTCATCCCTCCTCCCTGAGGCCCCCTCCCTGGACCTTGCCCCGATAAACTCCAGGGAAGCGTAATTCAGCTCTTGCCTCTCCAGTCCTGCCATAGAGCCCACAGATTGATAATCCCCGTCTTCTCCCTGCAGACAGAAACACAGTTTAGCGGCAAAAATCAGCGGCAAGGTGCCAGTGACACCTCAGATTGCAGAAGAGCGCGACAGACACTAAAGAAAAGATGTTAGTGATTACTGGTCGACATACTGAGAGGGAGTCTGAGATGTTTCCTGTTAGACTGGCAGTTTGTGTTAGCAATGAGGCAGCCATGCAGAAGGCAGTACTGGAAACAAACGGCAGTGTACAGAACACAGAAGCTGATATGCGAGGAGATGCATCTGTCACTGAGGCTTGTGTTTTTTGGTTTGTTGGTTTAATGGGGATTTGTAGGGGAACCTTACCGTAGTCTCCTCTAGAATGGAGTTAAACTTTGAGCCCAACAGCTCTGTCTTAAGCTGTGCAAGAGTTAGGGGAGAGAAAAACACACAGAAAAACGCAGAGAAGCGATGAAAGCAAGAGAAAAACAGTGTTTGGAAAGGTCATGGTTGGAGCTACTAGACTGCTAGTGGGACAGATTCTTTCTGGTACCTCATTTCAGAGGTTAACACGGGGTCTTATCATGACTGTACGACTTTTTCATTACACAAAACTTTAACCCCAAACAATCTGAGAATGGTAATCCAACCCATCCTCAATCATAATCATAATCATTGACATCAACATGTCTCACCACTTTCTTCCTCAGATTTTGTTTGTCCTTCTTGACTGCGCTGTAGTACAAAGCTGGGTTCTCCAGGACCACGTCCTGCCTAGGGTTGCCATTCTCTCTGGGGGACGGAGTCACATAATCAGACTCGGTCTCGACTGCCACTAACGCAGGGCGACACGCCAAGCCTGGGCATCCATTTTAAAACAACAAGCTCTGTAAGGTTATGCTGGAGGCCAACCGTGGCTGTGAGTGACGTGGTTATTTTATGGGTTTAGTCGCTGAGATCACACCCACTTCAGGGCCAGAGAAAGCTTGCAAATTTGGAGGTCCAAATATGCCTTGAGGCTAAAATAAAGCACTTTGGTTAAGAGGGCTACTCGAGTTGTATTTAGCATAGCAGGTCAAGGATACAGAAGCAGTGTCAGAGAAGGGAATCGTGCCTGCAAAATATAAGGTTAGTCCAGCTTGCTAACCAACTCCACAAGGCAGCCAGTGTAGATCTCCAAGGATTTCAACAAGGACTTGTCACTGCAAATGAACTGAAATTGCTCAGGAGAAATAATTCTCACGTCCACATCGGTCCCACATTCACTCGTATACAGTGTGCAACCATGTGTTTTAGAATGGATGACTAGGCTTAAGTGTTTCCTTGGATTTCAGAAAATGCTTAGTAAGGAAGTTGACTACTCCTGCCTTGCAACGGCTTCTCCATTAGTTTGTCATTTATACTCACTTCTTGTTGTTGTGACCAACATATCTAACTGCTGCAATGATGAAGGCTATGACTGCCACTCCTCCAATGGTGCCGACTATAACTGCCATCATGTACTTTTCTGAAAACAGAGGTGGTAAAAACAAAAATGAAGGGGAGTGAATTACTGTAAACGTCATTGAGTAACACATGGAGAAACTGCCCACCGAGCTAACAAGCCATATACACTCACTGGCAGCTCTTTTAGGTACACCTGTTCAACTGCTCATTCCACAGATGTCTAAACAGCCAATCACATTCCAGCAATTCAGTGAATTTAAGACCATGTAGACATGTTCGAGTCAGCTTGCTCAAGTTCAAACAAAGCATCAGAATGGGGAAGAAAGGTGATTTTGTATTTCAGTGACTCCGAGTATTTCAGAAAGTCCTGACCTATGGGGATTTTCCCACAGAACCATGTTTAAGGTTTACAGAGAAAGGTCAGAAAAGAAAAGAAATTATCCAGTGAGTAGCAATTCTCTGAAAAAACAATGTGTTGTTCATGCTAGATGTCAGAGTGTGATAGTCAGGCTGCTTTGTGCTGATAGGAAGCCAACAGTAACTAAAAAAAACACTCATTACAACCAAGGTAGAAGAGCACCTTTGAACATACTATCTTGAAGACGATAGACTACAGCAGCACAAGAACACACAATCAGCTAGAAGCACGACTGAGGCTACAATACACAAAGAAATTGGAAAAAATGTCTGGTCTGATGAGTCTCAATTTCTGCTAAGGCATTTGGATGTTATGATCAGAATCTGCCCTGTGTCAGCAGTTCAGGCTGTGGCGGTGGTGCGATGGTGTGGGGGATATATTCTTGGCACACTCTGACTTCCTGAACATTGTTTAAATGCACAGCCTACCTGAGTATTGTTGCTGACCATGTTCATTCCTATGTGAGAACAGTGTACTCATCTTCTGACGGCTGCTTCTATCAGGATAATGTCTCAAAGCTCAAATCATCTAAAACAGGTTTCATGGGAGATGCTATCGTGTCAGTATGGAGCAAAACTTATGAATATTTTCAGCAACTCCTGGGAATTAATGCTGGTCTGAAGACAAAAGGTGGTCCAACCTTGTATTATTTATACCTAATAAAGTGGGCAGTGGATGTTGTGAGTATTTATAGCACAGTCTAGAGGATTTAGGTATAGAAGAAGATATAAAAAGAAGAAAAGAGACTTTTTTTTAAACTGCTGACCATTGTGGAATTTTTAACTGCTAATCAAATAGGAGAAAACTGTGCTTTTTTTGTTCGGATCCATTTTCTGTAGCAAATCAATAAGCATTTAATTTATGGAAATGGGTCAATGTAAGTGGGATTGATTGAAAATTGACTACGGTGTTTAAGTTTATTGTAATTAGTAGAAAAGCACAAAAATTTCCATTGCCTTAAGCTTCATGACACATAACAGGAAATAGTCATAAGCAGGCATTGCTGACTCGTAAAGTACAGATAAATGTCAGAAATAACATCTGACATGTATTAAAAGCTTTATTATAGTGTCATATCAATTTAAATAGGATGTGATAATAGTGACACAATCCCACAATACTTAGTGTCAAACTAAATACTAAGTAAAGTTGTCTACTCACTCTCTTGCTGCAGCTCCAGAAGTATGCTCTCTCTTCCATATGCATTGGAGATGCTGCAGTGGACGTTGACAGCAGGGCTGCCGTTGTCGACCCGTTCACCTTTCTCCCGTAGCTTGATCATTCCTGTGGACGTGTGCCCGTCTGTGTGCGTGTAGAAGTTGTACCGGCCGTCTGTTTCGTTGATGGTGATGTTCAGGTCAGGCAGGTAGAACTCGATAGTGGGTTCAGGGTTCCCTGTGGCCATGCAGACACACTGGACACCTTCCCTCACCACTGTGCACTTTGACTCCTCCAGAAGCACAGGGGCATCTAATGAGGGAGGGCAAGAGATGATTACATCAGATAGCTGTTGACTAGTAACAAATTATACTCCTTTGGTCAAGATTTCCTTTAACCTCCTAAGACCCGAACTCTTCCACGGCATGCATTTTTAATTTCTCTTTGATATCTGGTCACATTGGGGCCCAATGAATGTAAAAACAAAGAATTACTAGATTTTTTTTTTTACCTTATTTTCGTTTTTAAGAAAAATAAGAGCCACATATGAGGATATTTGTTTAAAATTTTGATAGAACAGTAGCAGTATAATGTCCTCGTAAGTGGATATCAGGCCCTTGTAGAGCAAAATTGAGTATTTTGGTCTAAATAACCCAAAATGTGATGTCCATATATGTGGATGCCAGGTTCTAGGAGGTTAAAGTATGTTTTTACTCAAAGGAAATAAGAAATTTTGTGGAATTCTACAAAGTGCAATTCACCATACAGATAGCACATTACCGTACATTGAAGGGTTACACAAACGTATCTCTTGCTGCCAACATGCTTTATTCTTTGACCTAGTTTTAGACTCCCTTTAAAAATATAATACAGAAAAGTGACGCACTCACACTCGACAGTGATGTTGAGGGAGCTGCTGGCTCTCCCATGCTCATTCTCTGCCAGGCAGCGGTACTGTCCATCTCCCTGCGGCGTGATTTCCGCAATCGTCAGCACTGACAGCTCATCCGCAGTGATGGTGCCCACCAGTTGCCCATCCTTCAGCCAGGTGAGGGTGGGTGCTGGGCTTCCCCGTGTGCTGCAGTGCAGGGCCAGAGTGGTACCCTCTACTACTGTAATGGAGTCATTTACCATAGGCTCATGGGGAGGATCTGCAACAAAGAAGAGAAAATGAATTTGTTATGTTTACTATTCATATAAGAAAACCTCTATCTTATAATTCTTACATAAGATCCTTCTTCATTTCAAAGGCACAGAATTAAATAAAACCCACAATATCTTTTTTTTTCTTTTGGACACACAGTGACCTAAATGAATAAACAGTGACTTTGATATATCTAAAAATATGCAATACAGATTCTGAGCAGGTTTTTGTAGTACATTCATTTACTGCAGTATTGCAGTGGAAGTTGAACTGGCTGAAACATTGTGATATCAAAATGTTTGCCTTGTCTCACCCAATGTTTGTACCAAAACAAAAAGAACATTTAAGCTCTATGGACCAGATACATTGACATTTTATTGTGGTTTTAATGGTGGTTATTAAATGAAATCTTATCAATAAAGTGGCAATAGTTTGGAAATCATTGAGCATCTATAACTTCTTGTTGTGAGTCCCTGTTTAGATCAACTGTATTATGAATCCACACGGGGGGTTGACATTCAAAAGATTTTCACTTATGCTTACAAATGCTGGGGTTGGGAGTCATTTGCAATCTCAAAAACTTACACTTTACAGCCAGGTAGAGTGAGGTGTTCATGATGCCATAGCCATTGTCCCCAACACAGGTGTAAATTCCCTCATTTGCAGGTGTCACATCATCTAGCATGAGCGAAACATTGGATGCTGTGTCCCACAGCAGCTCCTGGTCTCCAAACATCCAGGCGATCCTGGCAGGAGGGTTACTGTCTACCTCACAGTGCAGTGTCACAGAGCTGCCTTCCATCACCTCTGAAGAGGCATTCACCCACACAGAGCGTGGAGCATCTGCCAGGAAAAATATAACAGGGAATTTATTTTCCAAGAACTCAAATGATGTCTGCAATTCACAGAATAACTGTCTCCTAAAAAATGATTTAATCTTTTCAATAAAAGAAATCGACAAATTTAAACCCTCAAATAAAGGTTGAAAGGTAGCTCTTTAACTTGAGGGGACTTCAAAGCAAATTATATCTAAATAAAAGTGAAACATGCAGATTGATGTTTTGTACTAAATACTGTACAAGCACCAGATATTGTTTTCAACCATGCTAGTGACAATTTTAGTCAGCAGTTAGCTGAAATGGTTCAGCAACTTTTAGATCGGTTTTCGCGAAACGAAAGTGAAGTGAACAATAGTTTATAATATGAGTTCACACTTTGGTAATTTGAACTGGAATATTTTGTACTGTTTCATAATAGTGGGATTACTGCTAATTCAGATTTATCAGCGTTAAGAAGGTTTATTCATCTATCACGATAGGAACAGAACAGAAACTGCAAAGATGCTGTCTTGATCTGAGGTCATTCCATACATGAGATTTAGATGAAAAAAAAAGTTGTAGGCTATTGATTTCTTGTCATCCTCAGTGACTACTTAAATACTGTCATAGCAACTATGAAATCAGCTGTACTATGTCTCCGTGTTAACTAACAATTCATTTTAAGCTCTTCGGTTATTTTTTTTCTAAACCATACAGATATCTCTTAATGTATGTTCAATCATCCAGGTAAGGGAATCCCAGAAAACTGAATCCAGAATCAACTTTCTGACATAAAGATATGCTTGAGTTTTGTGATCTCTGAGAAAAAGATCCACTTCAACTCACTTCACTGCAAACTGTCAGGCTCAACATCCCGTTTGCAGCCATACTAACATAGTGGAATGCTTTTCAGTCTTTCAGTTTGATGTTTTTATTTTTTTTACTTACACTTGACGTCTAGATTAATGAGCCTCTCATAGGCTAGTGTTGTGTTGGGGTAATAGACCCTGCAACCTAGAAGCTGCCCATTGTGCATGGGCCTGGGTGTGAAGGTGAGGGTGTTGGAGAGGACTGCTGTGTTGCTTTCTTCCACGAGGTCAGTGCTGAATTCTGGGTCGGGCAGGTAGTCCGTGTACATCCACTGGATTTCTGGAGTCATGTCTGGGCAGTTATCAGGAGCATAGCAAGTAAGCTCCAAGCTCTCGTCACTAACAATCTCCTCTGGTACATCGATGTTGGGCTGATCTGGAGACAGAAATATAAAGGGAAAATATGATTGTTATGGCTTTTTTAATAGCTATAAATTTTCAGCTATAAAACGACTTCCGATCGTCCTGTCATCAGTCACTTACCCAGAACCTTGAGCTCAGTGAAATCGGGGTATGTATAGATGTTGGCTCCACCGAGATCTGCACGAAAGTAGTATCTCCCCGTGTGCTCGGTGCCAATGTTGTTGATGAGCAGAGTGCAATTCCTCTGGTGCAGATCTCCCAGCAGCTTGGTTCGGCCCTTGTAGCTCTCATGCACAACGTCTGTACGTGATTTAAAGACTACAGGAGGGAAGAGTTGTGGGTAGGGCTGCCCAAAATACCAGATACCATGAATGCCACGGCTCGGCCTTATTCCAGACGGATACATAAAGGTGCAGGGGATGACCACACAGGAGTTTGTCATGGCTGAGATATCCCGAGGTAACCAAACATTCCACTGGCAACTGGCATCTGGGGGAAGAGACAGAGGCTCAATGGACTCTTCAACATACAGGATACACATAGGAATACTACCTGTCTATCATCATAAAAATATAGAAGTAAAGGAATGTATTACCACTGATGAACAACAGCAGTGGTAGGAGCAGCTCTAAACACCACATGGTCTCTGCTCAATACTGGACCATAGACCTCTGAAACAGACACCATGCTGTCAGTCATCAACAGAAAAACATACACATACACACAAATATCACGTTTCCACCACTGATGCTGCTGCATGACTCACACGCCGCACAGACCTCTAAAAAACAAATTCAAGATGTTCTTAATGTTTCACAGTTTCTTGGTTTTATAGTATATCATAGCAATCCTCTATCAAAAACCCCAACGTGGAACTTTTCAGTAAAACAAAGAAAAACAAAGATCAGAGTATCAGTTGTATCAAAGTCCCACAGGTTTTACTTTTGTGTCCGGCACAAAACATGACATGACATTTCTGCAATATTTAGTGTGCAACATGGACCACACGTTACAGTATACGGACTGAAAAGTGTCATTAACATCCAAAAAGATAATACATTCCTTCTTGCTATACTGTGAATACTACAGAAAAATATAATAATGTCAACGTCCTTTCTGTCATGTCCTACATTTAAAAGATGTAGAGCTAAACCTAACTTGAGCTATGTCTATGAATATGTATATTAAGTGCAGTTAGTGCTGCTTGCAAAGGCTCAGTCACAAGTTGAAAACTGCTCATATGGAGAGTTTTGGCTTTTTATCAGATTGGGTTGTGGTGTGAACATTCTTAGAAAGAAAAAGCACCTCGTATACAAGAAGTAAAAATAGGTCTTACTGTTTTGAACTACTGTGGTTTTACCTTGAAATACGGATGGTTAAAACGAATGGAACGTCTGAGAACAAATCTTCAGCAGTTCCACTAGAGGGTGTTCACTCACACCCAGACAGCTTGACAGCCTCCGTCTCTGTGGAAAGAAAGAAAGAAAATACCAGTGACATCAGCATTGCCAGGCGATTACAGCACTCGCAGCCCACTCGCTTGCACAGACCAATAGTAAGTCACACAAACACAGCATCAGTCAGCACCTGTTTGCTCCCCCTCAGTAGAGTCACTCTCATTATGGTTGCCATACGTAAGCCGATTCAGTGAATGGCTCTCACTGTTTCCTGAGCCTTGACACAAAGCCAAACTCCAGTCACCACACATCATGTCATTAGTGGATTACTGGTACTTTCTGTGCTGTACTACAAATCAATCCGAGTAGACAATATTCACTTATCAAAGCGTATGAAAACAAGTGAGATAATGAGAAAGTGAGAAACAAAAGCACATTACCACAGAAGAATCAAGCTGTTTGTGTTGTTTACTTCCTTTGCTCACTTTATAGTCTGGAATATCAACCCTCAGGTTGAAATAAATCAGTTCATATAAATTTTCATCACATCTATTATGAGCACTAATGAATAATATTAAAGTACCACTGAACAGCTACCCTGAAGTACCCCTGAGCAAGGTACCGTCCCTACACACTGCTCCCACTGCTTCACTGAGTGAATGGGTCAAATGCAGAGAGAGTAATTTCCCCATGGGGATCAATAAAGTATACATTATTATTATTATTATTATTATTATTATTATTATTATTATATTTCTATATAAATTCAATCTGTCATATTTTATTTTATTGGCAATACCTGCACTGTAAATGCAAAAATAGCTGAGGTTTGATATCCTAATAAAATCATGGCCATTTCAAGAGTACTGGGGTCAGAATTCAAATATACATCCCATTACTGTGGTGCTCAGAAGGCAATAAAAAATGCATTGTCCTTAAATTCACCACCAAACAGCAGAAACAGACTGCAAGAAAAAGCTCATATTACTGAATCTTACCCTTTCTAATTCAACTGAAATAGTCATGTTGACATGTAATAACATATGTTAATAAAGGCTTGTTGGACTATTTCTCTGTTATTTTTGGATATGTTTGCCTTTATTTTCCAGTATGCTGTTGAGATGCACAGTAGAGTGGGAAGGAAGATACCATGCAGTAAAAATGGCATGTGCTCTGACCCCCTTATTGAGGCTTTTACATTAAATTATGCACCATAATGTCTGCATATTGCTCCTCTCTGAGATGATAAATAGCCAGTTTCTCATAAGCCTGGAGTTTTCATATGCTTATGCTTGCAATGTACTCTGAAATTATCATAATTCACTCATTTACAATCCAAAGTGCAATATAATGCCATTATATTTGTATTATTTACTTTGAGTTCACAGTTGTTTTCTTATTCCTAAAGAAATCTATTTGTCTAAATGTGGCATACAAATGAGATGTACACCAGTATGATGACTGTTAGTTTGGACGTAGAATAAATGCCTGTAGAAGGAGAAGCAGCGGATTTCAGCCTCACGATGCAGCAGCCGGTGTGTGCAGATGGCGGGTCTGAGAGTGGATTGTGTTTTAGAGCTTCGTGATTAACACATCCCAACATCCCCCAGAGAATCCTTGACCAATATTAGCCTTGTTGTTAGAGAGAAGGGAAAATTCAGTTGATTTTACACTGAAAGAAGCACTGGATGTGCCACTTATCATGCAGTCCAATAACTAGTCAGTCACAGTCACAAATTCCTAGGAGCATGAGGATGTAATTTTATTTTTACACTTTATATTTAAATTTGCCTGTGATCTTTAAACCTACCGTATCTGGTTATTTTGGGCACCTGGAAGCAGTGGACTCAGGTTGGGAACACAGTATTATCATGAAGTTGTTACCAAATATTTAATCATTTTCATTTCTGGTAAACTAGCATAATCATTTGAATTTGATTTTCTGGCCACCTGGTAAATGTAATCCCAATGGTGTGTCTTGTTTAGCTATGTTTTTTATTCTAGTCCTGAGGGAAATTACTCTTCAGTTTCTAAACACTTCAGTTTCTAAACACTTCAGTTTCTAAACACTTCTATGCTAACCAACTTGATGCAAATTGTGTGTGGTGTAAAGCTGAGGGATTTTTAAACCTTTTTTTAGCAAAAAAACAAAAACAAAAAAAACAACAGCTGCCTGCTGCAACTGAAAACTGTGCTATTGAGAGTGATGAAAGTGAACCTAAACAGTCTCAGAACTGCACAAGCAAATTATAAACTCCGAGTAAGTGAGAGGACCTTTTTTATATATATTTCAGCTACCAAAAAACCCAAATATCTATATTGTAGAAAGGGTCAGACTTTGAATTCTTGGCCAATAATGTCACACTGTTGGCTGGGACAATTCAAACTTTTCTCCAACGTTGCGTCAACCTCAGACATCTGCACTGCAACAAAAAGCCAAGAGCTAAGTAAGTGTGTCCAGGGTGAGAGGCCATGCATCAGCAACATAGGAGAGAATAGAGCACAGCAGCTGGGCAGGGCCACTGACACCACCACCAACCTTACCAACAAAGGCTTTATTGATGGGATAGACAAATGGCTGGCACAGAGCACAGCATACGTGTGCACACTTTTATATACGCGACTCACGCAATGCACACAGAAAACACTTGCCTCATAACAGCCTCAGCACCAGGCTCCTGCTGCCTCCCAGCCTTGACTTTTTCTTCGTCTTTCCTTTGTTTTTGCTCTCCCCGAGTTGGTTTTCTTGCCCTGCTTCCCAGATGCCACTGTCTGTGAGAAAGGATAGAAAATGGAGATAAAAAGATATGTTGAAGCAGACAAGGGGAAGAGAGGAGTCTGTGTGAGCTCTGGTTTACATGTGTTGTGGGCAGATCTGAATATGTGTACTGCAGGCCCACTCAGCATTCCTTTACTTTCCACCACTTCCATGCACTGTCCTATGTGCCTTGATGCCCTGAACTTTGAGCCTACATTATGCTTCAACCTCTGAGACTTCTTGACATTTCTTGAACTTTGTTCACACAGACTTGTTGTTGTGACTGAGACACAAGGGCCAAAGCTGCTTGGTGAAGGAAAGATGACTCATTATTGGTTTTAGTAAAATAACATTTAAACTTTAGGGAGAACATGAAACATGAAACTTGATGTTAGTTTCGCTGTGATGTTAGGGTTCATTTGTGTTCACCATGACTGCATAATCAATGCAACCGTTTTCCAGATGTGTGTGGGAAAGCATAGAGTAATAGTCTAAAGCGCACAATTAGATTTGTGAAAACCATGTCTAAATGAATTTAAATTTCTGAAATTAAGAGTCCTCGGGGCATGATCACTGATCTTTCCAGCCTTATGCAAATCTGCAGTAATATTTTCCCTACTGAGGAATGTTAGTAGGCAGTAGTACAAGCATGGATCCACTCAGAGGTCTACTTAGCTGACGTATAAATATAACAAAGGCAAGTTGTCTCTCCAGTAAGGAAGTTTTTTTTCTCACCCTTATTATTATATGTAGAGTGAGTCACTGTTCAAGAGCCATTAGGCCACAGGCCAAGTCATGGCATTGAAGGAGTTGTGGATAACCTCAAGGGAATCCCTCTAGAAACAGACTGGAGAGAGTCTGAAGAAGACAGTGTTGCATTGATGCTATGGAGCTATGTACAAATGAATGCACAGCATGCCATAACCCCTACACACACATGCAGCATAAGGCATGCCAGCACACTCCACAGTGTGGGGTGTGGAGCTATGCGACCTTCCTCTGCTTCCCTTGGTGCTGGTTGTAAGATGAGCATGCTCCATTGTCCTGCTGGGACTCTAATCATTGCCTATACAGTGCATGCACATTAAAGACTCAAAGGGTAACTTATTAAAATGTATCACATTTCTTCTCTGGTCCTTTATCTCAAAAAAAGAAGCAGAGGGAACTTTACAGAGAAGCAATTAAAAATAGTTTAAATGTAAAAGATAACTCTCAGTAATCAAACATGTTTAGCTTCATCTAATCTGTGTGATGCCTTGTGCAAAAGGTCCTTTTCTAATATCTGAGGCAATCAAACTTCAACGTAATCATTTATTCCCCATCACACTTCGGGGATACAGATGCTATCTAAACAATCAGTTCTGCTAAATCAGGCCACGACACCTTTGATGAGTCATTTCATATTACTGAAATTGCTCACACAAACCAAAAGGTTTACACGAACACCCCGCTTTGCCAAGAAGAACATTTTCATTGTGAATATCATCTGCACCACATCTATACGAGCATCACCAGAGCTCTTGGACAGAGAGAAAAAGAATGGGAACCTTGTATGCAGAACACTGCTCATTGTCCAAGTGAGAAACTGAAGGAATTTTTCCGGAACAGGCCCGCTCACAGCTTGTGCTTTGCTGCTTGCCTGTGACGCGCGTTGATCCGCCACAAGCTAAGGCTCCCACTAAAATACTCAGAAGAGCAGATGGTCTTAAAACATGGCTGCTCCCCCTCCCACACATGGCGCGCTGAGCTGCGATGAGCCCAGCGCACCACACACACACACACACACACACTCATGTGCACAAGATACAAACATAAACACTGAGATATGCCAACATCCAGTCACACATTCTGTCCAAGGTACTGCAGAGTGTTGGCATAAGTAAAAGACTGGACGTATGTATGGCTCATACATAAGGCTCATCATGTATGTACTTATTTTAGTGTTTAGGTACATTTTAGCTATGCTTTACTCTTATCTGAAGTCTTTTGCAGGAATCTTCTGCTGGCAGTATCATATACCCAAAAGTGAGAAACCACAGAAAGATGGCCTGTGTTTTTCCCGGTATTTGCATGAGTTTGTGGGTGTGCACCATCACTTTCATCTCAAACAACACACAGAGATAGATTATAATTATAAATGGAGGCTTTTACCAAGAGCAAAACACACCCACAGGATACTAAAGCAAGCTTTATTTGGCAGACCACCAACATACTAAGAGACCAGGAGCACCAATAGCTTATATTTCTCAGCTACCTGGCAAAACCAACTACTGGCAATCCCGATCCCTGTGTGCAGATGGTAAGCCAC